CAGGTATCCTCGTGTACTTCTTCCGGTTCCAATCCGGTTTCCTTCGGCCCACAGGTTTCCTGGATCTTCAGGCTTCCTTGCTCCGCTACCAAGTTAAACTGTAAAACCCTGAGCGGTCACGCTTTTACTCTTGAACCAAAGGCGCTGCATCGGTCACATAGTATACAGCTATACAATACTATACCGTAGCCTGGGCTCACCAAAGGTGTGGGGCGTTCCTATGTACAGAATTCAACACTTTCTCTTTCCTGCTTGGCATTCTGCTTGTCCACTTGCAGATCTTCATACCACTTGTGAAGTTCATCCTTCTCACATAATCTTCTTCGTCTTTCGTCGACCATGCTTGACACGAAGATAACTGTGTTGACCTTCACTGTTCTTGCAGCATAGTCCATCACCATTTCTTCGAACATTCCTACAAGATCGACGTACTCTTCATCATCGTTGAACACTTCTTCAATCACTGGCATAGGTGTTGTTACCAACCTACGCACTTGCTCGTTTCCTTTTGCTCCTTGTGGTGGCTTTGCTTGTGCCTGTGTAGAAGAACTTGGTTGCTCTTCATACCATTCTTCCTCGCCTGTCTCTTGGACGTTGCGAACTTTTCCTTTTCCTTTTCCTTTTCCTTTCGGTGGTAACCAACACTCCGAAGAGTAATGTCCAGTCTTACCACAGTTGAAACATACAGGTCCGTTTTGTCCTTTTTTTGGCTTGACTGGGCCTCGTCGACTACGGCTGTAGCACTCGGTCCCTACAAACAAGCAGACGACAAACTAACTAAACTACAACAAAGCGGTGAAACAGAAAAGAAGCTCTACGAATGGGCTGCGGCGCACGGGTTTAACCTGTGTTGGCCGTTCAGCGCTAACTACGGAGCTTCAGCGACCGGTCCGGAGCAACAAAGAGCCGTCGCTCTGTGCCGCCCAAAACAACAGGTGGAGCCAAGACCAAGCTCCGGCAGCCGTTCTAGTCTCGCCAGACAACGGACAGCCCCTGTGTCTTGTTCCGTCACGATCGTGCACACCAAAATCCAAAAGTCCAATGCTCCCTGCGGTGAGCGGCTTCCAGACCTGATGCGGTGGCCAGAGTCGTGCAACTCAAAGCCGGCCAGATGCGAACGCACACCGAAGGACGAAACCGAACGATCCTCGGTGTGCAAGCAGTGGCGTCTTGGACGCAATGACCGACGGCCACCAATCGCTGCCACAGCACGCTGCCGGGCAGGATGTAGACCGTGGGAATAACTTGTTGTGCGTCGAAACCCAGTGCAGCGCAAGCGAAGGAACGCCTTAAAGTCCCAAGAATGGGTCGCCCAAGTAGAGCGTGCACCCTGGGCCCAGGGTCCCACGTAGTGGTTGTAGCTCCCACTCAGGAGTAACAAGGAGGGAGAAGAACCTCAACGACGTATGTCGTCGGTTACAGCGGCTCCCACAAGAAAGCATTGTCGGTTAGAGACGACCCGACCAACTTTTGGGGGTCCGTCACCACCAGACGACGAAATTGCAAGTCAACCGAATTGGAAATCAAGCTGTACTGGCAGTGTTCAGGGACAACTGTGGTGCGCCACAACAACCGAAAAGCGCAGCCAAGGCCCTCCCCTCCATTCCCCACTGCAAGGGTAAGCAGCGGCCCAAAGCAGCCATCGCGAAAGTGCACACCGTCCCAAACAAGACTCAGGGGGTCGTCGTGCCAGAACAAGAGCAGCAAAGAGAATGAATGAACCTCAATGACGTATGTCGTCGGTTGCCGCGGCATCACCTGGAGACTTCTCAAGAGGTGAAGCGACGTGCCTTACGAGGTCCGTCACCACTTAGCTATACCAGACCATTGCCAGGTGTTCTGGCCGCCGAGTCTGCACTATTGGCAACAATTCGACAAGGCGGCGAGGTTCCGCCAGAGGCCCAGTTGAGCTCGGGCTCGGCGCTGGTCCTGTAGCTCTTGCGTACAGCTGGGAAGGGTATCGACACAACGACGTATGTCGTTAGTCCCACGGTCGTCAAAGGCGGAGGTCATCTGGAAGAGCCAGCCGCTGCATCTTGCGGCCAGGTGTCGAGCATTCGTTGCATGTCCGACCGCTCGAAGGAAATTGACTCTCCTTCAGAAGATAGAGCAACTGATGAATACTTTCGCAATGGAGATGTGGCATTAACTCAGTGGAAATGCAGGGAAGTTGGAGGCCGGGCCCCAGGCCCCCTTCCCTGCGAAACTCCTCCGCCACAAAATCTGGCACTCGAGCCGAGAATTCCTTTTTCTTTTCCTTTTTCTTTTTTGTCGGAAGGCGTGAGCATCCGCGGCCCGTGGGCCTTCGTCGTGCACGAATTAACCGCGCATTGCACGGTCATTCTTCTTTTTTTTGGAGGGCATCGCCGGTGGGGCTACAGTCCACAGGAGAGATGCTCCCAGATGTAGTGCAAGCACGTCTTGGAAGTCGAGTCCCTTGTGAGAGAAGCCAAGTCCCTCGAGACCAAACCCAAGGCAGGAAAGACAGTTTACTGGGCAGCAGATCTCCCAATAGCACTGTCTCGGGAGCAAGAGGCTCAATACCAGGCGTTCGGTCTCGCAAGGCTGCCAACCCGAACGGCACGCGGGTTTCGCGGTCCAGCTAGCGCGAAACATGCGCCTACCAAGAAGCGGCAGCACCGCTCCTCCGCCACCTCCGCCACGGCGAAAGACCAAGGCAGGCACCAGCTACAGCCGTCGAACCAAGTGCCAGTGCTGAAAAAGTGCCCACTACCGCACCTAGGCACCACTCAACCGCTGCCGGCGGACGTCCATCGCCGCCGTAGGCGAGGTAGCGAAGGAGGAGAAGGCCGAGGACAGTCTGGATCCAGAGAAAGATGAGACTGAGAGAAGATCCTGGGCAGAGGTTGCTGAGAGCTCGCTGTAGCTTCGGGAGGGAACGTGTTTCGGAACGTGTCCGAGTTTCGAGCTTCGAGCCTGAAACAGCTGCCAGAGTTTGGGTCAGGCTTCGTGCTGCGCTTTGGGCTCAGGCTTGAATCTTTCCATCTTGTGCTGGGCATGCCTTGGGTTGTGGAGCCAGAGAAGGGGTAGCCGCAGGGAGTGAGAAGCTTAGCATACTCGCGGCAATCTGCCTCTTCTCAAATGCGTAGGCACACACTAGCTACAGAGGGTCTTGGAGGGTTTAGAGTGCCCCCCAAGCCAGGGCACAATGGAAAGGAGGCTAAGCCAGGATTATGAGGGCCTCGAACCTGGTCACACAGCCGGTTGAGATCCCCAAACCCGTTGAGACAGCACTTACTACGCCACAGAATGTGGCAGAAAACTTGAGCCATTCCTTTTTCTTTTGATCTTCCTCTACCACCTTTTCCTTTTCCGTATTCTCTGCCCTTTCCTTTGTTCTTTCGTTTTCCTCCGAGGCACCCGCATCAAAAGCATCGTCTATGATCAGCTCCGCAGATTTGCGCACTTGTGCTGGGGTTCAAAGTCTCGGACATCATCGAGTCAAAACGAATTTGCGGTGCCGCAAAGCAGCAACTTGTGAAGGTCAGAAAATTGAGACAAGCCCTCGATCTTAGGGTTTCGCAGATCCTTGAGCTGATGCGCGGCTGGAGTCCGGAGATCTACACTGCTTCGACAGGGCTCCTCTTGCATCCATCTTGATTCGGCTGTATGCCAGGGCATGTCCCAGCGACTTCTTGTTCATCGAATCGGTTGAGGTCGACCCGCCGACTCAGATTACCCTCTGCTAGTCTTTGAAGTCTCTGAGCACAAGAGGGCAAGAAAAGTCCAGCTTAAGAATAAGCTCCTTCCAATCTTGGTGCCAATGATTGGAGTGCATGGAAAGTGCTGGATCAACGAGGCGTTGAGCGCCTTCAAGGACGCTGGCAGAGCATTGCCTGTTGTGCGGAGGCCATTGACTCTTGCTCCTAGGGATGCATCTGGAACAATCCCTTCTGCGCGGTCTATCACTTCTGCTGAGGTGGACCGTGCCTTGCGTGCATTCTTGGAAGAGCCAGAAGAAATCCTTGATGCATCCGTGCCGAGAGTCACTGCATACTCTCTTCGGGGCACCTGCTTAGGTTGGGGGAGGAAGTTTGGTTTTGACGAGGACCTCAAAAGTATATTGGGCAGGCATGCCTCGTCTGTCAAGACTACTCAGACCATCTACAGTAGAGAGCTTGCGGCCGCCCCAGTGCAAAGATTACAAGACCCGATCAGAGAGATCGTGGCTGGGCGGTTCATGCCCGACAGCAGTCGGTCGAGTTACTTCCCAAAGATGCCGAGCACCAAGGAAGCTGGAAAAGCAATCACGTGTCAGGACGGTTCGCCTCCTGGAAAAGGTGTGGTCAAGATTGAAGTGTTCAGTAGTGACGAGTCTGGTTCAGAGCCGGGAGATTTGTCTGATAGTCCTGTGGATCGTCTGCAAGTTCTTTCGAGCTCTTCTGCAGAGGAGGCCGCTCAGCCCATTGTGCGACAGTGGAAGAGAGCCTACTGACCAGGTGTGGTATGTTCACACCGGTAGTGGAGTTTTGCATCTGCTCGCGAGTCCTGAGGAGGCTCCGATGTTGCTCGCATGTGGGCGACCGGTGAATAAGAATTACCGGGAGGCTACGAGAGAGGAAGTATCTCGCGGGACAGAGTGCCGGACATGCAGGCGAAATGTTTGACGTGAGATCAAGGCTGAAGTCGGCCCCAAAGAAAAAGGATGCGAAAGGAGCGAAGCTCCGAGCGTATGTGCTCCGAAAGTCGATACGACTTCTTGGGGGTGTGCATGCTGTCACCTTGTTGATGTTCCCGCTTGAGCCTTGCTTGAGTCAGTGTGTGCAGGTTTGGCTAGCCTTTCGAGTTGAGGTATGAGCGAAGGTGCTCGGAGCGCATGTGCTCCGAAAGTCGATACGACTTCTTTGGGGGTGTGCATGTTTCACCTTGCTGCTGATGCCACTTGAGCTTTTTTTGAGTCAGTGTGTGCAGGCTGTGCAGGCTTGGCTGATCTTTCGAGCTGAGGTGGATCGATTTCTGCTAAAGCTTTTGGGCTCAGTATGACCTCTTTGGTAGAGAGCACCCATCACTTCACCTCGAGATGCACCGAGGTCGGTCTTAGCCGGGACACGCTCCGTGCTTTTGCAGCTCATGGAATCGACACTTTGAGTAAGTTGGCTTACTCGTGCGGGCAACCGGGGGCGCCGCTGCCTCAATCGGACTTTGATGACTTCATTGCTACTGTGATACCTGCTGCTCTCTTGGGCGAGAAGGGAAGTGTGAAGAGGCTCATCTTTGAGAGTCAGGCATTACTGCTCACTGATCTGCGTGAACAAGTTACGCAGCCCGACAAGTGGGCTACCAAAAATGTGCCGACCGTCGAACGGCAGAAGAGAATGGAAGCTGTGAAAGCCAGCATCCCAGGAGTGTTGGTTGAAGGGTCCTTGGAGCCGTCGCATGGGCTCCTCAATGCTGCTTGCCGCATGGAACGTGAAGGCCAGCTGCGCTACATTGCACCTGAGCAGTGTGGCGCAAGAATGTATGAAATCCAGAACGTCAAGGCGCAGAGCAAGGTTCTTTCTTTGGAAGAGGGCAAGCTTGCGATTTCAGAAGAAAAGGATTTGCCTGAGGTCACTTGTGGGTCCGCCTTGTTGCTGCAGGAGGCTTTGAAAAGGCGTGGGATCGCCCTTCAGTTTGCGGGTGTGGCTTCGTTCCTCGCTCACGAGAAGTATGTACAATGTACTGAAGCTCTTCGGCCACATGGGTCGAGAGCCCCCTCCGGGGCACGCGAGAACCAGTGTGCACCAGCTCCTCATTGCTGACCGCCAGATTTGGACAAAGTTGATCGAGGACGAGGTTAGCCCAAGGCGCAGCCCTGCCGGCACCTACCCCGTGGACGATGCACTGTTACCCGTCACTGTTGCGCTGCTCCCCAGGGAATCCTCTAAAGATGGCAAGAAGCGGTTTGCTCCGACCAAGAAGCATCCGAGTGAGCGTGAACAGAAGGTTGGCAAAGGTGACGGAGGCAAGGGTTCTGGCAAAGGCAAGGGCAAGCGTCCAGCATGGCAGCCAAGTGTGCCAGCGGCTATACGCAAACTCGGCGGGAGTGCTCAAACTCCGGACAAGAAGCGCATTTGTTTCTCCAGGAATCTGCCTTGTGGTTGCACCCTTGGCCCGTGCCCGAAAGGTCTTCATGTTTGCGCACTGTGTCTCTCCCCCGACCATGGCATCCAGGAGTGTCCACAGCGCAAAAAGTCAAATCCGCGCCACACTGCGGATGTGCATATGGTGACCGATGACGGAGAGGGCATCGCAGCAACAATTGCCGCGACCTCGACTGGAGGTCAAGACTACCCATTGCATGATAGCAGCTTGGTTGCACCGACCGGGTCAGAACTCGTTGTGTCAGAGCATCCAGCTGAAAAATTTTCTGCAAAGTGTGAGCCGCCTGTGCTGGCTGACATCTTGAAATTAATCACACTTTTGGAGTCTGAGAAACCTTCACGAGGTCAATCTTCTGAGAACACCTTTTCTTGGACTTCAGGCGCATACGCTAAAGTAGGTCCTTTGCGAGGGCTTCGGAAGCATGCTTCTGTTTTCCCCGCTTGTACGCGCATGCTTTGCAGGCTTGTGCTCCAAGCTTTTCCGGAAGCCGATTTTGGCGCGGTTGCAGTTTTTAAGAATTTGCGAACACCTCTACATGTCGACATTAACAACTCTCCGGGATCGGTAAATTACTTGATTCCTGTGTCCTCTTTCACAGGTGGCGAGGTGTGGCAAGAAGGACAGGGATCTGTTTTTGTGCGCGATGAGTTGGGCCATCCACTCATGGGCTCGCTCCTTCCGGTTGCAGATGGGCCCTGTGTCGTAGATCCGCGACGCACCCATTGTACCATGCCGTGGGTCGGAGAGCGAGTGCTTCTCGTTGCATGTAAGCCTGCGCACACTCGTGCTTTGTCCATAGCCTTCAAGCAGCAACTCCAGAGCTTAGGCTTTCCGAGCCGGGCATTAGGTTTGTGTGCGTCGGAGGAAAATCTGTTGCCTCCATCACCGCCCCTGCCAGAGGCCAGCTTGCTGCCGATGAGACCGGTTCTTCCGAACTCTGATGTCGTCTGGAACGACCCCCTTGTCATCGAGCTCTTTGCGGGCAACGGCCGTGTCACTGCTTGTCTCAAGCAGTTGGGACTTTCGGCTGCTGGGGTTGACCGTAATCCTAGTAAGTCCGTGTCCTTCTGTCTGCCGGCGGACCTCACCTCGGCTCGCGGCCAGAAGCTGTGGAAGGAGTGGCTCGCCTCTCCTAGATTGGCCGGCATTTTTGCTACGCCCCCAGCCTTCACTGCTGCCAATGCTGATGCAATCACATTCTTGTTGCATGTGTTGTCCACGGCCTTGACCAATGGAGTCCTTTGTGCCGTCGCGAATCCCCGACAAAGTCGCTTCTGGCAAAACCCTGAGTGGAGGACCGTTGCCTCCTCTTTTCGTTTTGTTGCCTGCCAGGAGTGTACCTTCGGCGGCAGACATGACGATCACACCGTCTTCGCAGTGTCAGATAGTGGCTTTGACAAGTTGGCTCGTTCCTGCCCCGGCCCTCCGTGCAAAGTCTTGAATCGCTGCCCTGATCCTGGCACCGGTTACCCTGCTCACCTCGCAATGCAAGTAGCATTGAGTGTTTGGGGAATACTAAACAAGGCCTCAACATAAATAATTATTTTTATGAAATCACTATGATTCTACTATGGTTTTCATTTATGGATTTTTTATGACCAAAAATATATGGTTTCAATATGATTCTGATATGATTTTTGTTATGTTTTTTTTTTATGTTTTTTTTATGTTTTTTATGTATTGTTTAGGTATTTTTGGTGTTTTTGTATTATTTTGTATGGCTGGGCCTACTGATACGCTTGTACTTTTGTTTGTAAACATCCATGTGTTTTGGGGTGCACCATATTGATTTGGCAAATGAAACTGGGCTCGACGAGGGACGATCAAGACCCTGATTCAAACAGCGGCAGCAATGCAGGCTTTGGGAAGACGGCCAAATCACGCGCATCGAGATGTTCCGGAAACTCCTGCTCGGCCGCTGCCAATTCCACCTTTACATTTAAGGGACCCAGAAAGGAAGCACGGAGCTACACCGTTTCAGTCGTCCATGATGCGGAGAACACAGTTGGAAAGGTGTTGCTTGTAGGGCCTTGTAGGGGAACTGAGCAGCCTGGTTTCATGCTTCTAGTTGCTGGTTGCATCTTGACACACACACACACCTCTAGGCTCCGTAGGTCCCTGTAGTTTTGGCATCCTTTGGCTTCCCTGGCTTCGCTCGTGCGCCCCCTCCCCTACTTTCTACTTTGTGCTAGCGGCTGCTAGCGCGGCTCTCCCGCCCGCTTGCCCGCCAGGTACCATGCCGCATTCCGTCGCCGATGTAAGGCGTTACATCGCAGAGGCACGGAGTTCAGAGTTCAGTCTGAAATTCAAGAGACTGACTGGGCATCCGGCATCCATAATGGGAATTCACGAGGCCATCCTGGACGGTGATCACCTCTCACGAGAGAAGAAGGCAAGCGCCTCAGACTCTGCGCAGGCTGCCGGAACCCTAAACCCTGTGTAGGCCTAAACCCGTACAAACACTCTGTGGCCAAGTTGCAGCTGGTGGACATGAACGTCTGGTCAGACGCTGTCTGGCGTCGGGTCCTGAAGGCCCCCCTCTGCTGCAATCACAGCCAGCAGGCAGTCACAGCCAAGTATATACAGCATACAGATCCGGCAGGACCTGTCAGAGCCAGAAATGGATCTGGTGGAGGCCGGGGCAAGGGTTTTCGTTTCAGGGTTTGCGGCTCAGAAGATTTGGAGTTCAGGGTTGTTGGTTTCGAGATTTGGTCAGAATCCCTGAAGAATCAGAGTCAGCATAGCCACTGCACGCTGCAGACGATGTCTTGCGTGGCCGTGGCGATGGTGGGGAGCGGGAACCGAGGGCCTCCCACATCGAGGCGGGCCAGGTCCGGCTATATTATAGGTGGCTTCCTGTCCTTGTGTTGGCTTGGCAGGCAGCTGCGAGCTGCTGATGTGGGAATCTCTGACGATGATGACTAGGCAGGAATCACCTTTGAAGCCTTTCAACACCTACCCATAACTAGATTGTGCAGAGGTTCATGGCCAATAGAAACCCAGAAAGAAAAGAATGGAGTGAAATGATGTCGGCCTTAGCCGCTCTACCGGCATGCTGGGCAGGCCTTCTTCGATTCTCGCTTTGAGGTGGGCAGGTGGGCCTGCTCAGACATGCATTTCGGTTTTGGTCGTCCTCAGGCAGCCAGTGGCTTTGTCGGTCGTGGTGATTTTGGGCATTGCGTGCAGTTTTCGGGTGACTCTGAAGCGGTCTAGCCTAAGGGGAAGCTATGACTATGAGTATGAATTCTGATTGAGTGCCGCCAGGTCTCCCACGTGGTTTACTTCAATTGCTGCTGGCTGTGCTCATGTGTGGCCCTCAAATTCCTGGCCATGGGCCACTGGCTTTGGCGCCATTAGACACATTTTGGACTGGTTCGGGGCTTTGCTCTCTTCTTTCCGCAGAGCCAAGACTGTGCTGGATCGTTGCATTCGGATGAAGGGTATAGGGATCATGCACGCCGCTTGTTCGTGCTAATTGAACGTGAACCTAAAACCATGTCCTGTCTTTGGGTTATACACGTAAACTCTCACCCTCCGACATATCTCATCTACTTGTGCAGGCTCAGGGCTCAAGGGTGGTTTGTTGTTACATGTGGCCGCGAAACTCCTACCCCGCTATATAACCCCTTAAGCCTTAAACCTCAACTTACAGGCAAATAGACACGGCTGCGATCCTTAAAGCTTTGCCACTCACACAACCTAGACTTAGACTTAGACCTCACTTTCACTCTGTCTTCATCGGTCTCGGGGGCCTTAGAAGCCTGCCTCAGCAGCTGCTTCCTCGGTTACGCCATCGTCCTTCGTGTCCTCGGTTGGCGCCAACCGTCTGCCTTCCCAGTGAGTGCGCGATGAACCCCTCCCCGTAGGATCCCGGCTGCCCTGTGATTCTTCTAGATTCTAGATGCTGCGACAATAATCGAAGTCAGCAAGCTGCTCGGCCCAGGTTTGGGGAGCAGGCAAAGCACGAGCCTCGGGTCCTTCGATGTCGGCTTGACTTCCTATCACTCAGACGCAGAAGTCCCAAAGTGCTGGATTGCATGTTCAGTTGTCAGTTGCCAATAGGGAACGTGAGCTAGGTTGAATTGGACCGTCCGTCATGAGACAGGTTAGTTAAGTTCAATCTTCCGATGAACGAGATACCGCGGCAATGACCGAAGCCGGCAACAAACTGCTCGCCCCAGGTCTTCGGGAGTCCAGTGCGGTGGGTTCGAATCTCAGGTCCTTCGATGTCGGCTTTGTTTCCTATCGTTCAGGCGCAGAAGTCCCAAAGTGTTTATTGAATGTTCAGTTGCCAACAGGGAACGTGAGCTGGGATGAAGTTGACCGTCCTGAGACAGGTTAATTGACGCTGCGGCAATAATCGAAGTCGGTGGTAACAATACTCAGTCCAGGTCTTCAGAAGTCTGGCAGTGGAGTGGAGAAGCCCGAGCCTCGGATTCCTTCGGTGTCGGTTTTGACTTTCTATCATTCAGATGCACAGGTCCCAAAGTGTTGGATTGAATGTTCAGTCGCCAATAGGGAACGTGAGCTGGGTTGAATTGGACTGTCGAGAGACAGGTTAGTCTTCAGGAGTCCCGAGACCCGCCCCCCCTCGGGGGAGGGGGCAGGGGGGGAGGGGGGGGAGGGGTTGAATGGGTTGTTCATTCCATCTTATCCCAGGCCCTTGCAATGATTGCAGATCAGCCCGGCTCTGAGTCTTCGGCATCCAAACGGCCAGATGAGATGCAAGACATTTGTGTGAAGTGTGACATGGCCGTTGCAGCAGTTCCAGAAGTTTTCGTGGACAAAAGGCGAAGACTCTGCTACCAGATGCGGGTTCTTTGCAGGCACCGTGGGTTTTGCTGCTATTTGCAACCTATGCATGGTGCCAGAGAGACTAATCATGATGACAGCACAACTCTTTTTTGATGTGCCATTGAACAATCTTGTTGGCTCACTTGGCAACCCTTGCCGCTAGGATCTACGGGCGTAGAACTGCCTGAGTGCTGAAACCTAAAGATCAATCCTGTCCAGATTCAGTGCGATCATTAGAAAGCCGTGTCATGTCTTCCACTCCTTGTCAAGCTGTGGCTTCATGTCACAACACCTCTGTGGCAGGTCTGTGGGAGCCGCCGACGTCTGATGCTGTGAGTCTGCCGTGTTCCAATACGAATCTCCAGCTTCAATAGTTACAATAGTTTAGGTCTCAATAGGTTGAATAGTAGTTTCCGTAGTCGTACGTTCAATCGGTCAATAGGTCCCAGTTCAAGAGGTCCAACCAATAGATGTTCAAATCGAAAGTGAATGCCTGGCCTAGCTGGCCTAGCTCATCCCATGATCCCATGACAACACAAGGCTCTGTGTAGTAATGCACGTGGACCTATCTGGAATGCGGTAGCCGGTAGCTGCCAGTGGATTGAGCTTTGAGTTTTCTACCCCCGTGGCCCTTATAGTGATGCAAGTAGCGGCTATTGAGCGGCTATTGCAGCCTTGCCACTGGCTGCCTGGCTGGGCCAGTAACCAGTAGATTCAGTAGATCGAAATGGCTGGGCTAGGGTATTGGCTGGGCTTGCTGGGTTCAGCCACTGAAGCTTCAGCAGTATTTAGCCAATTACTGTGGATCCCTGGCCATATGTCCACATGTCGAATCACTTTCGGGAGCCACGGGCACGAGTGTTACAAAGAGCCATGTGACACATCGCGTTGTTTCAATGGGCAGCCCTATGGTGCCATCAGAAATTCGGCTGCCTGAAGCCGCTTTTGTGCGCTACCGCTACGACTGACCTGTTGGGGCCTTTCAAGGGGGGTGCCTGGTTCTGTGCTCCATTTCCAAATTGTCTCTGTCCGCTCTCAGGCCTCAAATTGTAATCTCAAGACTCGTGACTCTTGCCTTGAACCCAATCCCCAAGCACTCCCCCATGGACTTGAGATACCAACCAAAGGATTCATTGTTTCGGAAGCCGCTGGGCCTGGCCTATTCTGCACTATACTTACACTACAATACTATTGCTACACTATATCACTATACTACACTGTCACAATACTACACTATACTATGGTATACTACATTACTATACTGTACTATACTATACCACAAGTGAAAAGGAACATGACTGCTGCCATCGAGCTCTTTTTGGGCTTCATGTCAACATGGACAGATATGTCTGGGCCTCTCTGTCTATGTCCATGTGGATCATGCATCTCATGCCGAGCCTGTATCTGTCACTGAAGCCCTGGCTGCTAGTGCTAGTGGCTGCTAGCTGCTAGCACATGTTCGAGCCAAGTGATGTCGGACAGGTAGGTTATTTTGAGAGATTGTCGCCCAGCACTCGTGAACAATTCTCGCCGCCATGGGCTGGGGGCCTGTGGCAGATGAAGTGGCTTTGTCCCAAGCATCTTCAGATGACATGGTTGTTCATCTGACTGACGAGAGAAGTGTTGTGACTTCAGAAGAGGAAGAGAATGCAGGGCCACCGACTGTTTGGTGGGCCAAGATGTTGTCAAAGCATGCCAAGAATGTTTCAGTGCACTTGCCAGAGCAAGCACCTCAGCCAAACGCCCAGAGACCAGTGCAGTGCGTGTCTGCATGTACCGGCTGCTTCGCAGAGGGTGCTGTCTTCAAGGAGAGGTTGCTGAGTTTGATTTTGTTGGCCACTATCAGACACTATCATTATCTATTATCTGCCTCCCTCTCTCCCTCAATCACTCACTGGCTCTCTCTCTTTCTCTCTCTCTCTTTTCTTCTCTCTCTCTCTCTCTCTCTCTCTCTCTCTCTCTCTCTCTCTCTCTCTCTCTCTCTCTCCACTCTTTAATGCTTCTTCTCTCTCCCTCTCCCTCTCAAACTCACGTTCCCTCTGACTCTATCGCATCCCTTTCCCTGCTTCTCCCTCCCTTTCGGATTCCGGCAAGGTAGCAGGAACAGACCATCATCAGAAAAGTGTGTTCAGCGGCACAGCCGTGACCAGGATTAAGTACGTTCACTAGGCCCACTAGGTCACTAGGTCAAACTCCTTGTCAGAATGGCGCTGGTATGTTATGTAACTAACCATTATAATAACCCTAATAACAGGGTGCTCAGATTCTCAAAATGCAGGGGCTTGTCAGGGCTTGTCAAGAAGCCGTTTGACTAGGTCGCTAAGTCACTAGGTAGTCCAGGCATGCGTGGTTCTTTCAGTTTGTGTTTGTCATGGTGCCACAGGAGCTGCAGATTCCATTTCATTGCTGGGGAATCTCCGAAAAGCAGCTGCCTTACCAGGAGTTCTGCAAGCTCAACTATCCAGGCTGCATCAGTCACATCCATTCAACCATGTGTGGCCAGTGTGCTGGAGAGAGCTGTTTAGAACATCCAGACAGCGATGGATGCAACATTCCCGATTCGGCTGACTTTGCTTGCTTCGGCACAACGTGTGATCCATTCTCAAAGTTTCGCCACAAGAGGTTTCATGATGGCAGTGTGAAACAGCATCCAGATTATGCGACGACCTTCGAGGATGCATTGCAGTTCCTGCTCAGGCTGGAGCCGTGCATATGCATAATGGAACAGGTTGCTGGCTTTGACATGCCATACAGCACCCGAGACGAGACCACTCCGAAACAGAGGCCGGCTGTGTTCCTGGTGTTGCTGCAGGATTTCTGTTTACCATGTTAGTTATGCTCCTGCTCTGTATTTGTCTGGTAGGGCCCTGGTAGGGAGTGTTGTGATGACATTTTGCGCTTTGCATCATGTTCAACTTGTGGTAGCCTCTTGAGCCTCTTGGTAGCTGCTAGCTGGTAGCTGCTGGCTGGTGCTTTTGGAGCGTAGAGATTGAGCCAGCTAAATCTGGTCTGGTGATCATGCGTTGAGGCCCAGGCTATACTCAGTCGGATTTGTCTGGGCTATGGGTTAGTGGGTAGCTTGGCTAGGGACAGTGTATGTGTATCGTGTGCTGCTACGGCCGCTAGGGAGCTGTTGGTTTCGGTTGTTTTGGTTACACGAATATTGAGGCT